TGTTCTGTCGATGCTAACCTCAGATCTTCGGCCAGAAATGTCTAAGGTAAGTGTATTTTCAGATCTCTTCAACACTCTGTAGGGGCCTGTATAAGGTGGCTGTAGAGGGCGTCGAACGGAATCTTCGCGGAGGAACACGTGAGTAGCATCAGGTAAGTCCTGGAAAACGAAAGTTTTAGAATTCGTGTGACGTGATGCTGGAACGGGGCGAAGTTCTGCCATCCGTTTTCGCAACTGTGCAACAAAATCATCGTCCACGGTCTGAGGGGAATTGCTAGCCACCAGGAACTCGCCTGGTAGGCGTAGCGGTTCCCCATACAAAACTTCTGCAGCTGACGTTTTGATGTCATTTTTTAGTGCCGCCCTGATTCCGAGAAGAACGAAAGGTAGGGCATGGTACCAAGAACTCTTGTGACACATTAAAGCGGCCTTTAAATGGCGGTGGAAACGCTCTATCATCCCATTAGCTTGGGGATGATAGCTCGTAGTACGAACGCGTTTTGTGGCTCCTAAATCCATCAGTCTGTTGAAAAGTTGGGACTCAAATTGACGTCCCTGTTCCGTTGTGACAGTGATCGGTACACCAAAGCGAGCGATCCAGCCATGGGTGAATTGATCAGCGACTTCTACTGCGGTTATCGACGACATGGGCCAAACTTCGGGCCAGCGTGAGAAACGGTCTACTGCTGTTAGGCAATAAGTGAATCCGTTTGAAGAAGGCATCGGTCCAATAATGTCCAGGTGAACATGACGGAAGGTGTGCTAATGTTGCCAAGCGGTGAAACGACATGGCACGTTACCTTGCTGCTCTGGCAGGCGAGACACTCGCGTGCCCAGGAGCGGCAGTCTTTAGCAATGCCTGGCCAAACATAGCGGTCGCTAATGAGGCGCGCGGAAGCGCGTGCGCTGGGGTGGCTGAGACCATGTAGGCGATCGAAGACGGCTCGCCGATATTGTTTTGGCAAAAAGGGTCTAGGTTTGCCTGTTGACACATCACACAAAACGGAAATGTTGGATCCAGGTATGAGGGTTGGCTCTAACTGTAAAGAAGAATGGACCTTTACGGTTTTAAGTTCGTCGTCCGTCTGCTGAGCTTTTGCCAGGGCTGCGAAATCGTCATCGAGCGTGATAGCCTCAATGCGGGACATTGTGTCAGCAACGATGTTGTCTTCCCCCTTCACATGTTTGATATCAGTTGTAAACTGGGAAATAAACGTAAGTTGGTTAAGTTGAGCAGGGGGCAATTTTTCACGGCGTTGGACGAAAGCATAAAGAAGCGGCTTGTGGTCCGTGTAGATTGTCGCGTGTTGTGCCTCTAGTATATGCCGGAAATGCTGTACGGCCGCGTACACTGCGAGAAGTTCGCGGTAATACGCGGGCCATGTACTTTGGCTCTGTGTTAGCTTTTTGCTAAAGAATGCCAACGGCTGCCAGCCTTGATCAGACCTTTGCTGTAAGGCAGCGCCGACATGAGTGCTGGAGGCGTCCGTGTACAACCCGAGCATTTCGTTGCGGATGTACAAGCATGGTGGCCTCTGAGAGACTTTCGCGACACTCGTAGAAAGCACGCTCCAAGTCTGCCGTCCAGGGCACAGCTTTTGAACCTTTTAGGTTGCCAACTGTTAAAAAATCCACAAGTGGAGCTTGCAGCTTGGCGGCTTTGGGAAGAAATTGGCGGTAATAATTTACCATCCCCAGGAACCGTCTCAAACCTTGAGCTGTTTTGGGAAGCGATAACTCGCGGAGAGCAGCGATCCTGTCTTCAGGTGGGCAGATACCATCCTTGGTTATCTTATAACCTAGGAAGATTACCTCACATGCCCCCAATACGCACTTATCCACATTGACAACGACGCCATAGTCCACCAGTCTTTGCAGGATTATGCGCAGGTGTTTGGCGTGCTCTTCAGCATCCCGAAGGAGAATACCAAAATATCGTCAATGTAGGAAAAAGCGAAGTCTAGTCCGCGCAAGATCTCATCGATGAAACGCTGGAAGGTTTGGCCAGTGTTGTGTAACCCAAATGACATATAGGGAAACTCGAAAAGACCAAATGGCGTTACTATGGCCGTTTTGCAAACATCTGGACCAGCTACCGGAATCTGCTGGTAGGCCTTTACTAGATCTAATGTGCTAAATATAGTAGAACCAGCCAGATTATGACTGAAGTCTCCTATATGACGCACAGGGTACCGATCGGGAACTCTCCGAGCGTTTAAGAGCCTGTAGTCACCGCAAGGACGCCACATGCCATCCTTTTTGGGTGCTAAATGCAGTGGTGACGACCAGGGGCTTTTAGATGGGCGAGCAGTACCCGCCGACACCATGTCATTAAATTCCTTCTCAGCAATTTTTAGCTTGTTGGGTGCTAGTCTACGAGGACGCGACGTGACAGGCAGCCCACTAGTTGTCGTTATATAGTGAACAGTGCTGTGTTTTATTTGACGGTCAGCTGTAGGTGGGCGCGTCACTTCCGGAAAGTCTAAAAAGAGTTGACTGAACAGGGAACCGCGAGACGGTTTTTTTACGGTCCTAATACTTGGCTGCATTATATTGCGGTTACAACAATATGCGGATAAGTTTGTAAGCTCATCGCGCAGTGTGCCGCTACGGCAGTCGGGTAGGAGGTGGAAGAAAGCTAGGAAATCCGAACCGATAATTGGGACATCCACGTCAGCACAAATAAACTCCCAGCGAAATTCACGGCGCAGTCCTAAATTGAGGTTCAGATTAACTGTGCCGTAAGTTTTAATGTAGCTGCCATTTGCCGCATTGGGAGTAAGTCCTGTATTTGAGAATCGTCCTTTTATAAGTTTTCGTGGAAAACAACAAATGTCCGAACCGGTATCTATCAAAAAATTAATTTTGGTATTTTGATCGGTAATAAAAAGGCGTTTGCTGGACTGTGCGCGGTCGGTACTTGCCACGTCCGACCGCTCCCTTACTTTAAAGGTTTGGTAGCTCCTTCAATGGTCCAGCTGCATCCTGGTATGCATTTGCTTGCTTTGTTGCCGAAACGATCGTGGTACCAGCAAAGCTTCTGATTACGTGGGCGTGAGCGCGATCGAGAGCGGCTCCGCTTTTGATTAACGCGTGAGCTCCCAGATCGTTCATGGGTGTTTGTTCTGAGCGCTGCGACTGTTCGCGTCAATTCCTCGATCTGCCGCTGCATTGACGCCAGAATGGGCTCAAAGGTATGATGCGCCGAAACCTGGCTCACGGTGGTAGGCCTCTCGGTCAACTCCACCAACTGGTCAGCCATCTCCGCCAATTCCGTCAAGTCCCGGATCTTCTGTGCGGCCAACACAATTTGAACCTGCCGGGGAAGCCGATTGGCCCAAATTGATCGCAGCAAGTCAGCGGGGAACGATTGCCCAGCCAGACTCTTCAAGTGTCGTATGAACGAAGATGGCTTGCGGTCACCTAACTGTTCCTTTTCTAGTAAGCGCCGTACCTTCTCCTCGAAGGAATCGGAGAATCTAGATATGATTGCGCTTTTTAAAGTTGTGTATGGTTGCAACTCGGGAGGATGTGTGATAATATCTTCGACCTCCTTCGTACACTCGGTATCTAAATGCGCCACGGCGAAATGAAACTTCGTCATTTCGACGGTAATTTGGTTAATGTGGAACTGCGCCTCTAGGCTAGCAAACCACAATGCGGGCCGATCCTTGCTAAAAGGCGGGGTCCTAATTGCGACCCTGTTTACGTAAATGGGACTGCCACCGACTAGTGCAGTAGCATCACCCTCGTTGCCAACGTGGCCCTCTGAAACGTTAGATTCTCCTTGACTCGCCATGGTTTAAAGGTAAAATCAGAAACGGTCAAATCGCAAAAACGCTTTACACATACACGCAGTGGAATAAATCCACAAACGAAACAATTTCAGTATTGCGCAGCAAACGTAATAATAAAATTGGTAGAAAAGTAAAGTAAATCTAAATACTACATAAAATGATACTATCTTAAGTGTAAAATAGCACTAAACTTTCACTTGAACGAGTGTAAACGCAGCATCCGTCGCGAAGTATCAGTGGAGAGCTGTTAGTCACCTGACACAATATTGCGGGTGATTGCCACGCGTGGTGCGCTTTTCAACTTCCTCCTCGTTAAAGATGACGTAGCTCCGGTAGAGAAAGAAAAATGGCCGGCCTCGATGCGAAAAATGCCGGCTCAGAGCTACATAGAATGGACAAAATACGAGTCCAATAGCGATGTAGATTATCGTAGATGCGTTTACAGTTGTTGCGATTATAGCTTCATGGCTGTTCTGTACAACCTCCCTCGCAGGCTATACCATAGTCTCACTCGCAGGTGGCTTTTCTAGTCTCCCTAGCAGACTTCTCTGCACGGAGGGAAAAACAAAAAGAAGGAAGCGTACCTAGGCGGCGTCGCAGAATGGAACAAACCTCGATTATCGCGGAAATTGTTGTTTCCGAGCGAAACTGCAGAGCGTAGCGACGTGGGCTCCGATGTTGCGCATATTTATCACATCACGTCGGGGTCACCAGTTTGGGAGCCGGCAGGAGGGAATAATTAAGATGCAGTACAAAGAACAAGCCGTGTTGAGAAAACCATCATCTTTTATTGTCCTCGTTGCTATAGTAATTTGTCAATAATGGGGTAATGCTAGACCGATGAGAGTAAGGGTGTAAAAGATAAGAGCAGTGCTACACAGTAGCAAATGAGTCGCCACAAGGTATTCGATTGAACCAAGTGTAGCTCAGTCCTATGACATAGTCTACATAGTTGTCAATGTCAACTTGTCATTGTCAGCTGTTGTCAATTTCTGTGCTCCTTTGAATTCTGAAACTTTGAAGTTGATAATTATTTATTAATTTGATCATGAACAAAATTTTGGTTACGTTTGAAAAAAATTGATTAAAAATAAATGGTATTCGTTTTTAACTAAAAACAGTTATTTTTAATTTGAAGTGTCTGACTTATACTTATAATATCGTTCTAAATACATATATTTAAGCCTAAAATAAAATATCTTGATGTCCGAGGAAGATAATAAGCCATCCCAACGTAAGGAAAATGGTGTTCCCAAAGATAAAAGTGAAGAAGCATGGGGATATGATTTGTACCCTGAAAGGCGAGGAACGTTTTCACCAAAATTAAGCAAAGTGCTAATCGGAGAACATGGAAAAGAAGGAATTGAAAAAACTAAATGCGAAAAAAATGTCTATGAATGTGTAAAAAATAGTAAGAGACATAATTTTAATAACTTTGAAACTATAGAATAATATACAATTTATTTATATTTTCTTTTCTTCTGTTATAGGTCCAATTGTCAAAGTTATGATGGCAGCTCTGAAAAGTTCTGGCTGGTAAGTTGCATAATGATGAAATTTTTGAAACTTTATCGATACTGAGCTAAAATAATAATTTATTACTAAGGGCTTAACTATAAACATGGTTGTGAAAGTATAGTTCGAAGTCAGTTGAGCGACAAAAATATGCTACCTTAATAAAAAGGGCTTATTATAATGTTGAAGAATACATTGAGGACAAGGATGTGTGGAAATGACTCTTGATTTGCACTCGCAAGTTCCCTGGCTGTGATAATTTTATGCTTAAATACTTTTGTGTATGTCTTAATTAAGAAAAAAAAAGATTTGACCGCAGATTTTCTTGCAGGTTCTTCTCTGGACAGGTCTAGTTTAGTGAAAATGGTAGGTTTTTGATGTTCAATAAGCGCTTAAAATGAGCTTATATTGAATTTGACTTTGAATAAATATTATATTTTTTTGAGTTGTTACATTTTGTCCAATCACCTTATGCACAAGTCTTCAGATTTTCTGATTTCAACTTGCACCTTTAAAAAAACCAAGGCTGTTCTAATATAATAGAATTAAATGTATGTATAATATGAGGAAATAAGCCTTATTTTTACTTTATTCATCAGTTTATCAGTTTTTTTTTAGTATTTTAAATTGAATTATTTGAAACTGGCAAGCACTTGAATGATAAGCACCCGATGGTAAGTGGCGAATTTTTTGTAAATGTTACCTGGAAGACAGTTTTGAATCCCAAAACAACAAAAATCATTTAATTAAGTTCCATCTTTAATGCAGAGATAAGCACCAAGCTTGAACAATTAATCATAAATACTATTAATTCTGTACTTAAGTGTGTTTAGACAGGAATTTATTATTGCCATATATAATTTTTATGCATTAAAATTGTCTTGTTTGTAAGAGATTTTATTGATAACTTGTTGTTAAGTAGGTGGTTTATACTGATAAATAAAACGATTTCACTTTACAGAAGAAAGTGTTATACTTCCTTATGCAAGTCTCAATGATTCTGTTGCTCAGCAACACATATGTACTTAGATGAAAACGTACCTAACCTAGTCAATAGAAACACTTATTTAGATAATAACAATTATAATCTTTTAAAAAGAAAAGAAAAGCTTGGTAGTCAATTTTATTTTCTAGGTCATAAATTCCATCTGGGTTATACATTCTTGCTCCCTAGAGATGTTTTTACATTTAATTATCTGGTCTGTATGCCTGTTAACTACAACATTATGAACTATAAAACGTATTTTAAACATTCTAAATTTTTAATATTTTTTTTACTATCCATGGACTTCCTACCAGAAAAACCACTTAGCTTTTACAATTCTGGCAACAATAAAACGCCTGCTTGAGTGTTATTCTTATTACATACAACTCCTAATCTTAGGAGGTTAAATTATGTTATCTACATCTTCAACCAAACTAGTGTCTTTTAAGTCTAAACAGTGTAACAGTGTTCCCATATTCAAAGAAAACAAGATTTTGTACAAGTTTTTACGGAATTTTCTGCTTGAATGTTGCTGGAAGGTCGGTAAATAGGAGGCAATATTGTTCAGAGCCGGCGTTTAAACTCAGCAAAAATCGATGAGGTAGCAGGGTATCTAATTCTTCACTGAAATCGTAATATGCAATCAACCCTCATAAGTCGTGCTGCCCATTCTTCTGCACTTTTATTTTCGACTTTTTTGGCTTCTTAAAACTTTGCCATATTCGCGAAAGCTGACCTTTTCGGTGTATAGTGGTTATTGAGTACTGAATATTTCTATTAGTTCCTTGTGCTTTCTTTCTTTAATGTTACTTGGGTAAACCGGATTGCGTATCAGACGGTAGGATTCATCTGATATATGGATTAATAACATGCGCTTTCGTTACCCTTTACAGCACTAGTACCTGGAGGACCGAGCTTAGCTCGGTTTTTTTTGGTAAATCATGTATTTTGGAAATAAAAAAATAAAAAATAAAGAAAATCATCTGTATAGAAAAAAAAGTAAAAAAAAAAATAAGTGTGTAAATGATCGTGATACGAACCACGGCTGTCTGTTTTGGGGCCGCCCGATGACCGACCGAGCTATTATAACATTTTTTTTGCGTTTAAAGGATAAGATTTATTTTTATGATCATATTTAATATAGGTATAAATATTTTCCATTGTTGCCATTTATAGTCGAGTATATAGAAAGTTGCCACGTTCGAACCCATTTTTATTTTTTTGGTGTTGCGGGTGTAATTATCCTCCGTCTCCATTGTTTTATGTAAGTGTTGATACCTACCGATGTATAAAACATCCGCAAAACATGTTATTGGTTCCGTCGCGTAGCAGACACACGATACGCACATATACAAATATGTATCATGACCAGGCTCGGAAATATCAACTATTCCTTGACTAACGTTAAAAACATTCCTTTGTTAAGAGAAGTCCTTATAATAAGTGTATATGGGGCTCAACTATACAAATGAAGTTTATAATGATTGTTGTTAATATAATTAGGTCTTTTTTGTTCTTCGTTATGCCACCCAAATAGTGATAATGCAAAATTATTGTATGAATTTATGGCTTATGGCTTAATCTTTAAAATAAGTTTAAAATATTATGGGACGATGGGACTGACATGCACACTACGCAAAAATCCCTAAAAAATAAAGATTAAAAAAATACATTGAATGAATTAGCAATGCCCTTCAAATGGTAATAAATAGAAATGATATTTATATAGCGCTTTTACATGCCTAGGTCAGATCATCATGGAATAGACCCGTGCCTACAGACGGTTGGCACAGTAACGACAAAATACTTGATAGCCCATGTAAACCATTAAATTATACGCAGAATATAGCTACCTATGTTTACTTTATTATTTACAGCGTTCATGAATTTTACGTTCACGTGTTTATTTACCTAAAATTAAAATTGTTTTAGTCCTATCGACATACGAAGACACATATCATGTGAGGTCTGTGACTACTCAGTAAGTGGAGGCTATGATCCTGAATTAAATCAGGTGAGCAAGATTGTTTTAGAAATATTTAAAATGATGGTACGGGTAGCGGTATTTTTTTTTTCTATAAGCGTAAAACGCATATTGATTTGTAATAATTCATCATTTGTTAATGAACATATATGAAATAATTCATAATGAATATGTATGTATGAGTTATTGACACGCAAAAGGATCCTATTATATCAGAGGGATCCCTTAATCTTTCACTATATACATTTGGTGTATATCTTATCCATGGGCAATTATAATGTTCGGATACAAGCTCATAGATAATCTTATTTATCGGATATTTTTAAGGAACGCCAAAATCTCACAAAACATACACGAAATTTAAATTTTTTAAACTTTTCTTCAAACAATAATTTAATATCTTTACTTTTAATTTCTTGCATATTAAAAAGTATTATGAAGTTTCGTTTAGTATGTAAAATGTATATAAAAGATTTTTTTTATAGATTGTAGTGTGCCAAAATGTGTCAACAAGAAAGGGAATGGTTCAGGGAGTGTTAGCACACGAAATGATTCACATGTTTGACTATTGTCGAAATGAATTGGATTTTAAAAATATGGAGCATTTGGCATGTACAGAAATCCGTGCTGCCAACCTGACTCATTGCTCGTTTACGAGTGCCTGGTCCCAAGGAGATGCTTCCTGGTTCAAAGTAAAACAGGCGCATGAGGTATGTTAACATTTACGTTTCTATTGATTTCTTTTTAAATTGTATATGATCTCTAAGAGGATATTAATTTTTAGGACTGCGTAAAAACGAAAGCGCTCTACTCGGTGCTAGCAGTTCGTCAAATAGGAAAAGCTGAGGCTGTTGACATTATAGAAAAGGTGTTCCCCAAATGTTATGCCGATTTGGAACCAATAGGACGACGAATTAGAAGAAATTCTGATGACATGTTGCGAGCTTTTAAAGAGGCACCATATTATGGCTACGAATAATAATGTGGTAGTGGGCAGTTTAAAGAAGTAGTGTATAAGTAGAAAACATAATAAAACAAATTATTAATGTTTATAATAATGTCTTTTATTTCATTATTTCATCATCTTGACTGCTACTACTTTCAAACAATATGTTTATGTTCCAAACACAATTCTGTTTGAAATTGTTTCAAATTACGATTTTATATCTTAGCTTATTGCAGACTTGCTCAGCATTTCTAGTGAATAATTATTTAGTGTATGAAGGCACAAGTATTTATGATTAATGGACGAATTCTTATAAGGCCTTAATTTACGACGTTGTGAATTTATAGATTTTTAACATATTATTCAATTCCTCAATTTAGAACATATGTAATGTTTTGCTTAGTTTAGTTTCACTTTTGAATATATCAAGTTTTGTGCAATAAAATGATTTGTGCTTACGGTTACCTCGATCCTAGTTTTTAAAAAGTCAATGACTAGATATAACGCCTATTATGTAAAAACTTTGCGTCTGACGGAGAATATTGAAAAAATTAATGTAAGTTGTTGAAATGAACAATGCGGGTTATATAAAAAATTAGTTTACGTCTTTTATCCCTATGGAGACAAAAATCACAGAGATTGTATTTTAAAAAGGATATTTGGGAAATCATTCGTCATACACTGTATGCCATATCAAAAACTGACTCAAGAAACAGTATGTGGTCAAACCAAGAACTGTTTCAAGAGGCAAAAATGTTTTTTGTTTGGCCATAGCGAATGGTTTCCCAAAAAAGACGTTTCAAGGTAAGAACTGTTTCAAGAGGAACGCTGTGTCTTAAATTTGCTTCGATGAGAGTAAAGTGTCACTAAAAGTTAATCAAGTGGTGGTAAGCTTAACACGTTCAATGCAACTACTATTTTCACGATAATGGATGCCACCTACATTTCACGTTGGACTCAATAAGCGAATCGCCGACACTACAGTATGAATTCAAGAACTCGCCACGTGAGTTCACTGGCATTATGTAACGATAAAGTTTATGTTTGTTTATTTTTGTGACCGTCTCAGTCTCCATAACGTTTATATCAAAAGTGAAATATGTTTGACGATAGTCAGTATGTTTCAACTTAAAAACATGGCAAAAAATTCAAAGTCCATGTCTATACATGTCCCATTGCTAGGCAAAGGCCTTCTCTGCACAAAGGGTATCAGGGCATAGTCAACCACGCGGCCCCACTGCGGATTGGCGGACTTCTCATATCTTCAAAAAATATTTTTTTTTATTATTATAACGAAAATATGCAGGTTTCCTCACAATGTTTTACTTCACCGCGGAACACGTGATAAGTCAGCACTTAAAGTTAAAAACTTCATTGGCGCCGGCATCGGGGATCGAACTCAGTGTGCTCGAGTATATTGAATTAAAGGCGAGCGCCCGGACACTGAGCTATCACGACTCGTGAAGTAATAAAAGATAAAATAAAAGGTTAGTTTTTTTTCATAATTTTAGTGGTAATCTTTTATAATATACTGTGTCAGTATCTTACCAATTGAATTTTAACAATTGTGAAAAAGCTGTTTATTTACACAAACATTTTGCCAACTAAGTGAATATTTTTCGTTTTCATTTGAAATCTAAAACTAAAAATAATTTAAAACTGTATTACGAATTGTATTTTAAGTATCATAATTGAAATCTAATTAAATATAATAAAATAAAAAATATCTATCATTAGCCATTAACTTCAAATTACTCAACCATTTAATCGGTGTTTTTTTTAACCATTTAATTGAACGGTAAACGCCACATCAATCTACTCAAAAATCGAATGTGGCACTATATCTGTTTATGAACAACTTCTTTGTTTTCCACTTCTTTGTTTGGCCTCCATTTCTTTGTTGCCCCGAGGCCTCCAGACCTAAATCCGGCCCGGTTTTTGAATCTATGGCAGTGAACACTCATGGCATTGAGGAATGATTATTTTTCTTTCAAATGTAAAAATGTTCCACACATATTATGAGTATACACCGTAATATTGAACAGAATATATAGATGCATTTTGGAAATATTACCGAAATACACTAAACTCGTCACACGCGTTGTCGGCACTGACTTAGGGCGAACGCGTTTGTAGCACTGAACGTGTTAAAGTAACATTTGTTAGGATAACGGTAATAAGCAATATCTCTATAGACTTCCAAATTGTAAATGATGGACTATATTTATTTATATGACATAAGCTACTGATTTAAAATCTGTGTTCGTACTCTTAATTAATCTTATTCTACTCATAAATTAACAGTTGAAATGGTTTACTTATATTTTATATATTTATTACGTACTAATTAACGTCTCCACCACGTTTTTTTTTTGGATAATTTCAACTCTTCGTAAGTTAAACCGTCGAGAGTACATTTGAGTAGTAATTTAATTTAGTGATTTAAATAGTTAACCAAAAGGCACTTGAATTAGGTGAAGTACCGAAATATCAATTTATGTATAAGCCCTATGGTCCCCAAAAATTGACAGTTATATATCCGTAATAGATTACCTACAGGTCCAATTTTCTTAATGAATGAATTATTTAAGTACATTTTATAATTAAACTCTTAAAAAAAACAGATAATATTAGTATAACGCCATTACACTAACTTAAGCAGAAAAACGAATGATTTATTTACAAGTTGTGTGTTGTAGAGATCGAACTGACAGGTATGTTTGTTTCGATTTATATTAATTAGGTTTAAATTTTAACAAAAACATTTACATTAAGTAACAGTGCGTTCTACAACTGTTGATTATAAAACGACATAGGTATATTATTACAATCATATTAGGGAAGGGTTTTCTAAAAAGCAAGCAATAATGGACACCTTATATTGTTTCAAATAATTTTTGATGGCGGTAAGCATCTGATTTTATAAAGATAAAAATATCTTAAACAACTAGTTCAATAATTGCTGATGCTGTCCTCCTAGTCGCTCATGGTATAAACAATTACGTTTTGTGGTTGTCGGTATTTCATCATCTTCCGGCCCGAATCTGTTGTAAGTGGTACTAGCTAGGTATTTTAGGACCGGACGCTTGCCTGATGTCAATACTCCTTGAGAACAAATTACAAATTCTAGATCCGGAAAAATTACTATACTTAATGTGTATATTAATAAATAAAGAGGTTGATCTGTTAACTTTACAAGCTCGCTATTAACCCTAATTTTTTCACTCCATCGCTTAACGTCAAAAGTACCTTTAGCAAAAATTATGAGAAATATAACGAATATACAGAATATAATGTACATGGATTCTACTAAATAAACTCAACGCAAGTCGTATCAAATATTAATGACGAATAATTTTGAACAAAAAAAAAACCGACTTCAAACAGGAAACTAAAAGCTTTGTCAACACCTATAACATTTGAGGATTGCCCTCAATTTCTCAGGGATGCCATCATCAGATCTGCGTTTCCTTATCATGGTACCACCCTTGGAATATCTCCTTTCCAACAAAAAAAGAATCATCAAAATCGGTTCATAAATGAGGAATTTATAGAACACATAAAAAAAATTTAAATATATACGGTCGAATTGAGGAACCTACTCCTTTTTTGAAGTCGGTTAAAAATGTGTTCCTATTTCAACAAATATGTACGTAATTATCGTAAACGTATTATTAAAAACCACACATTAAATTATTATTTCCTTAAGTAATAAATAATTGCACTCATATGTCAAAACTTAACAGTAGTAATAAGTTTTATTCAGACGTCAAACGTCATGAAAGATCACTCTAACATTGAATATGGACTAGCAACTTCTCTAATATGTACAGTAAATGTCAATTGTTAGAAATCACTTTGTTGCGCACTGTTCACTTCTGTTCTGCACATTCAAAATCAAGTTTATTTTATTTTACTCGAGCATTGCCCGATGCGCCTCGCTGAGGTAGGTTGTCCAGTAGATGACGGTGAAAAGAAAGAAGCACACGGGGAACAATATCAGAGCGAATTTATCAAGTGCCCCATGTTGCGCACCGCAGAACATTACTCCGTGGTCCGCCATAGTAGCAAGTCGTGTTAAAAATCCTCTCGACGATCCACTCGGCGGCATTGTATCCAGTATAGGCGAATCCTAAAATAAAATTGATAAACATTATCACGGATACATAGAAGACCGTAATTAACATCAGTTTTTATTACCATCAATACTTTGCGTCATTTGAATTATCTGTTTTCTCTTTTCATATTTGGACTACAACTAACATCAAATTTGTTTCTAAGTGCAAAGCCATTGTGAACAAACCGTTATTTATTTATGTTCTATAGTAGATCAAACGTTCAAGCAAAGACAAGCTCATTGGAATATTGCAAAATTTTTTTAAATTCTGATTTAAATGCCTTCAAAGTTACTATACATTTTCATATATCTAACATCAATACTACGCATGACTAAATACAAAATCCTTTCAGGATTTACCATTGGGATCCATATATTTTTTAACTATAAATTTGCACGGACTATGCGTTTGTGAATCTATTATTTTATACTTGATACTGTGTACAGTCAGCAACACCGTGCTGTGACGTTTTAAATGAGTTTTACCTTACTAATAACTGATCTCGAATCGCATCCGACCTTATTTTTGCGCCAACTCCTTTTAACCGAAGAGGATGACTAAAAATTGGTGGCCTAATTTTAAAATCATATACTATCTTAACATCTACGTGTACAACGGGCCTTCAATGTATAAAAGTGCAAATAGAATCACTTGAAATTGATATTTACCCTTTGTATTGTTTGATGTGAAAATTGTTGCTTAAGGCCCTCGTCCTCAACGCTAAGTTGTGGTGAAAAGACACCGCCTTGAGGCGTTCCTGTCACCGGCGTGCCCATTCTCTATAAATATATATTTATTACATTAAGTAAAATAATAGTTGTTCGAGATAGACTAGGTACGGTTTTATATGGCCGATTCGAAAATTAAAGTTTTGGTTTCTATCTATTTATTGGACTGGCTTATTTTATAAAATATAATTTAAATTAAATAATTATTTTAAGTTACTATTATTAAGTATTGCCATACATAGCGGAGACAGTTGGTTCTTATTTGTTAAAGGTGTGCGTTTTTTTAAAAGCGTTAGGGCTTAATTATTCTTGTTCATGTTAAATTAGACTCTATAATACAAATTAATAAAGATATATCCTATTCTCATTCAAAGTAGATTTATAATTTCTTCGACTATACATATAGTCGCATACAAATGTACGTTATTTGCAAATTTGGAAATTATTCTATTTTAGACGGCATATGAGGGAACCATTAAGTTTACTTTCAACTACGATAGTCTGCTGTTCGGGTATAAGCGGGTTACTTGACAAAGCTCCGTGGATTGCAGCATAAGCTTGGAATGTGTAGGGCTTTCGCAGGCGTACGTGGGAAATATGCAAGCAGTTAACACGATGTTCTGTGACTACCCAGGGTAATATGCAACCATGGGACTGAAGGCATCTATTTAACGCAGAAATACACGTGCTTGTGAAGACGTTCTATCTTCTAACACCGGGGAAAATTCCTCACCTGAGAATGGTTCACGTGTAGGGGCGGTGGGGCGAGTTGTGCCGCGGAGTGAGCGCGCCTGAGGTCTTGCCGCCGCTTGCTCCAACTTTTGTCGTAACGGATGCCGAACAGCACGACGAAGTATTCGAGCAAGGCCAGGAACACGAATATGGTGCATGAAATCAGCCACACCTCAATACACTTGAGCTCCAGGGCATCAGGCGAGTTTGTACTACAAGTGAAAGACGCTTTTTATACCTAACGGGCTTTATAGAGACTTTCCATGTTACATAATAAAAAAAATGGATCGGTGGTAAAAAAATACTAATGCATATCTTATGAACATTTAATAAAAAAATCTACATATATTGTGGTTACGTTACTCTGTATTTAGTGTACTTTTAGTCCGTGATTTTTCATGTTTGTGAAACAGGAAAGGAAATTATTCAGGTAGTTATTTTTAAAACAAAGAGAGAAAATAAATGAAGACCACGCTAATAATAAAGATTGAGGCGTTTACATATTTTAAAATATAAATACAATGTTATTAAATAGAAATTTACTTTAAAACATGTAGTTTGTACTTTATGAAAAGATTGTCGCCGCTGTGGGAATCGAACCCACGTCTTCGGCATTCGCGGCCTGACGCTCTAGCCACTGAGCTAAACGGCTGTTAGCCACAGCGACGAAAATCTTAACGCCTTCTTTGTACATTGTTATTTAGCATTTGAAGCAATGCTTGGCGCATCTATTTTTATATCCTTTCCAGCATACAAACAATTTCGAATATCGTTTTACAACGATAATTCGAACGAGAGATGTCGCCATTGCTTTTTATAAATTTTAAAGTTTTTTATAGTGCTAATCTCTGCACCTAAGATTGAACATTAAAACATGTAGAAAAAGTACGAAAAGATTGTCGCCGCTGTGGGAATCGAACCCACTTCTACTTCTACTTCTTACCTGACTGTGTCAAACATCGTGACTAAAGAGAGCAGTGTAGTCACGAGGAGAACCATACGGCCGGGAACTATCTCCGGTATGACGCAGAAGCTTCCCCAGGATATGATGACGAACAACGACGACGGCAGGTAGCTCTCCAGGAGATAGCTGCGCAGCTCCCTCGAAAGTTTGATTTGCAACCGTGCCGCTGAATGCTCACCTATAATGAAATACGGCTTAACCGAAGGTCCTTAATTTTAATCTTCCATCCCGTTTTAATATGACATCATGTTTAGTTGCAATTTACGTTACCATTAATCTAGTACTACGGTTTACTATGAACTACGACGTATTGCAAATAGTTTATTTATATGGAATCTAAAAGACCCGTCGCCTTTTCTAAAATGTATGTTCGACATTTCTCCCACGGTCGAAGAATAAAAATGTTTACCCCATTTCTGAAAAAAATAAACGTTAACAATATGTGGAATGAAATCTATTTAGGTTTTATGGATATAGAAATAACACTCTACAATATTTAACTATTTAAATACATACTTTACAAGACATTTGAAGCTTGTTCCTATTCACCAGTCGTAGAAAATCTATTTGTGTTATATATAGTTGTGTTTATGTGTGCAAAAAAATGATAATAAATCTACACAAGTGTGAAAAAACAACAGGAACAAATTTTCCACATGCACGACATTTCACAGACGGAACAACACAGAAAGGACATTTTGTGTTGCACGCGGATGCAACGTGTGTACTTCTATATACTAAAGACTAATATTGTCGATTCGTCTTGCCGAATGAATAAGATGTGTACGAATTAGTCACGGTCATCCGCGTCAAGCACTGGCCACGGCATGCGAGCGTCAGCGGCAGGGCGTTAGCGTAGATAAATGGATAGATAGGTAGGTAATTACATGCTAATAAATCGGGGAGCAAACTTAAGCGCAAAGCAATAAGTATACATTTACCTTCACCAAAATTTCGAATATGATTACTTTTGTCCGTGACGAATGTGACCACGTATTTGGGCAGGCGGAACTGGTTGCGCTGTTTTCCCACCAGGCCCCGCCACGGCGCTCCCGCATGCCACTCGAAACGGACGTCTTCCGACGTATATTTGTCTGGATAAAGAGAAAACTTTAATAAATTTCGCACACTTGGATAAACTTTACACTGTAACAATATGATTGAACGAATGATATTACGATTTTTTTACAAATTTGAAATGCAGTTAAAAATAATTCTAAGATGTTGTAAGCAGTGGGGTTGCGTCGTCGACTATGCTCTAACATCGTCGTATGTCCAATACCTTTGCCCAGCAGTGGGGCATACGAGGGGGCGTTTTTAAGTTCGCTGAATGGAGAATAAGGGGTGGGGGGAAGAATAAAATTTGAAAATTATTTTTCTTTTCCAATATATTCTCCTGCAAGATGATATCGTTTCTGATATATTTCGATTAGTTTATTTATACAAAAGTTAAAAATGTTTTCTTGTCAGAAAAATACGAGGAAATTGCGCTGCCACTTCGTGCTGGGAAGCCAGTGCAATACAGCTCTTGTTTTTTTTTTATGTGAAAAGTTCCCAAACGAGCAGACGGTGCACCTGATGTTAAGTGAATACCGCCGCCCATGGACATCTGCTACACCCGAGGGTTACAGACGCGTTGACAACCTTTTGAAAATTGGGCTCCGGCTACCTCACTCACCAGACGAAACGCGAAAGTATTTGTCATACTTCCACTTTACGCCGGTCTTCTGTGAGGTCGTGGTACTTACCCGGACGGGCCTGCCCTTTCGTGCAACAGCCGAGGCTGCTGCATGGCCCTACCACCGCAGAAGGTCTTGTGGTGCAACAGCAGGATACCTCTGCTTAATTTTCCCCTTTTCTTTTCTTTAATTGCTTCTTTTAACAACTCGACGATTGTTGCATAGTATTATCCGGTGATAGACAAACCTTTATCCTACCAAGATTTTTTTTATAATGAGATATTGTTGATCAATAATAAGGATTGATTGCGACACCTTTCGGAGGTTCATATTGATGAATCCAAGTTTCATCTACAGTAACGATTACCTCGACAGTACCTCTTGCCCTTGGAGCGGCGCTGGATTCGTCTAATAACCCATGAGAACATTCGACGAGCTATTTTTTTTTGCGGCGGCGTCAGCATTCAACCCACCGTGCGTTCCATAGTCATGCCAAGATGTTCATGCATAATTTTAAATTTCGGCAAACTGTTTTTTCTTTAGTTGAGCATCTTGTAATGCTAATTTTCACCTAATTTTAACCTTCCTGGTATTGGGTCGTTTTCAAGTGATTTCATGCCTTGCTTAAAAAGTCTGTGCCACTTGTGTAACTTGGTTTTTCCAGTTGTTGTAAGCTGATAACTTCTCTTTAAGTATGATTTGAAAAAAAAATCAAAAATCCTTCCTTGGTAAGAAACGTGACGGCGTATTACTCAATTTTCCCCTTCCCAAACTTTCTTCCAAATTGAGTTGCTCCGTCGTCAATAGTTCGAAAACTAGTGATACAATTGTGAACTAATCTTTATATTTATACTAATTATGAACCATTGAACGTAAAGCCCTTAACGAGCCTGCTAACCCTCTCCAATTCGGCAAATTTAAAAATGCTCTTGTATTCGAATTAAAAAAAAATTATTCAATTTAATTGATGGTAAGTTAAATGTTAAGAGATAATTTAGTTTAAATGATAATTATGATAATTTAATTTAAAAAGAAAATATGTCGACTTGAAATAGGTTTTTCGGCCCTATGGAATTTTAAATATGAATACCCAAAAAATATTGTAATGGCCATTTACTTTCGTATAGTGTATTGTTTCTAATAACGATTCCAATCAGCGTTTAGTAAATTGTATCAAAAACAGATTTATCGATTATCATTTAACGATAGGCGTCAACTCAAATTTTAAATTCTGCTCAAGACGGTTACATATAATTTTGAACAAAAAAAAACGACTTCAATAAGGCGGAAAGTAAAACAATATTGTCAACTCCTATAATATTTGAGGATTGCCCTCGATTTCTCTGGGATGCCATCATCAATCTGGGTTTCCTTGTCATGGTACCACCCTTGGGATATCTCCTTTCCAACAAAAAAGAATCATCAAACCGGTTCATAAATAACGAAGTTATCCCCGAACACACATTAAAAAAAATTAAAAATATATACGGTCGAATTGAGAAACTTCCTCCTTTTTGAAGTCGGTTAAAAATAGAAAAAATAAGTTAATACTCACAACTGCCAAAATCAATGGCGCATTTTTGCACATCCAATGGGTACAGAACGAAATCCATTTGACATTTAATTGTTATAGTAGCGCTGAAATAAAGTGCATTTATATATACATTTCTACATGTATGTCACCTATATTAAATCCAGCACGTGGCATATACAGCGTGTCTTTACAATCGTGACAATAAATGAACACACATATAGGGGAATACTTTTTAAAATTGTATTAAATCGATTATCAGGTAGATTTCGAAAAACAATCATACATTAGGTTGATCTTGCTTTGAATAAAACGTTCCGATTCAGAGACTAATCAAACTAATATTTTTTATTGTACCCAGTTTTCTCTTGTGAACAATATAGAAAAGATATAAATGACAACAAGCATTCCCTACTGACGACATGAAGTTTTTACATTTTTCTCTCAGCCACTCAGCCAAATGTCCAATTTTTTCCAATTCAGTAAAATATTTAGTTTAAGAGTTCTAATTCTTTATTGTGTATATATTTCCTGCATCTTTATATATTCGATTAAAATATAGAAACGATGTGGCAATTAAAGTTTGTTTAGTACTTATTCGATAAACATATATAATGGACGGATCGCTGATATAATAAAAGTAAGGAACGAACCCTATATTAACTGATACGGTGCTATTAGAGTATATCCTGAGCGAAGCCATCTCTTGCAATACGGACATTGTTCTCATGCTCTGCAGCTGCCATATGTACAGATCCGGCGTCCATATCAGCTGGCGAAACTCCCATGGCAAGTCTATGAAAGGCATGCCCGGCGGGATTTGTAGCTGTCCGTCTTCCCATGATACTTGCAGAAAGATGTCCAGCGTTATTTCCTTAAAAGAAAATACGAGCAAGTTAATTTTGTTCATAGTATTCATTTATATACTTACTTATTATCGTGACTAATTCAAATATAAATTCTAGATCGTATGCTGGCTTTTATTTCAATGTTTTGATGAAGTTAGAATTGCGTGTTCGTGACACAGATAATTAGTTTAATAAAATGCTCAAGTAATTCTTTGTGATTTTCGCCATGGCATTTTATGTAAACGACTTGTGGTTAGGTCGTTTGGGTTTGCGTATGATATGTTTATACTAAAAATGCGATTATTAGACATAAAGAGAAGATATACATGTACAAATTGAATGGAAAAAAGGCATTAAAAATTCAGACATTTCAAGACGAATTCAAGTGTCACGAACTGGAAGTTCGTAATACACGATTATTTCAAATTAAATTTATATTTTATGAAATTTAAGCATACCTCTTTATTCTCATCGACTCCAGACACCCGATTGACGTTTATTCCTATATACACTGTAGTGTTTTTACCTGTAAGTGATATCACATTAAAATATTAGCGTTACCCACCAGTTTTATTGAATCGGTACGAAGTTTTGCATGAGCGGTATGGTAAGCCGTTTTATGGTTAAGACTCGGAGATATCTCCGGTAAGCGCAGGGCTGCGGTTGTACATATAGCTATAATATAAATTTGAAACGATATCATCTCGGTAAAGGATAAGAACGATCAACCCTAATGTACATATTATTAGTGCCGCAGAACATTCTACTGTTGCAGTTTATCGCAAATAATATTATCCTCAATAATAAATTTCAAAGTATCTTCTATTGACGTCTTTTATAACATAATTAATATCATGTTTGTTTACTTTGGCAAAATTATTAGAATATTAATCTTTAAATAGAATTTGTTATAGTTGACATATGATTAAATTATAATACTTTAATGATATTAAGTATAAAATAGGAACGGCGAATGAATATTGAAGTTATTAGAGTTTACCAATGGAAAATATTGTTTGATTAATGATCGGCCTGTCGTCGAAAGTATTTTGCTGAATAACGTCCGGTCTTAAGTGGATAGCCGTTCCTAAAATTAGTCACATCATTCTTGCAAAGCACAATTTGCTGTCAGCTTATTATAGAACCTCCGAAAATAACTGTGCAGGAAAGTTTTATCTATAATATTGATTAATTTAAAAAAAACATACATTCGATAGATATAAACTACATAATAGAAATCGTAACATTAAAGTAAATCTTTTGGTTCAGAAAAAAATTATAAAATAATAGTAAAAGAACATAGGATATAAAATTAAATTTCTTTGTTCACATGAACATATACACATTATGTTTGTACTGAGTAACTTATTATTTTTTGTAAATTATTATAATCACAATATAGCATTGCCGTTTTGAAGTCACATTTTTAGATAATTTTGGTCAATAAGAACACCGCTAAAAGCATTATAGGATATCCTATGCATTTTTTTAATAAAGCGCACTAAGAGATAGAGACCAAAAGAGACTAATACCTGTTAACACCACTTAAGCGACAGGTGTGTCACCACCGCTTAAGTGTCAGGTGACCCTTAAGCGGTTGTGAAAACGAAACTTGCACTCAAATTTTTAGGTGTCTCTTAAAGTTAGGGATCGATGGTGAAAACGGGCATAAGTGCCATGAAGTTAAAATGAGAATTTTACGACAAGGTAGTATGTTTTCAATATACAGGGTGGCTTTACTAAAGGTGCCCAAATTCACACAGAAGGTTCAGACTCGGCAGTATAATCGTTTATTGAAATAAAACAAACTTTTTTTTTTTCAAAAAAATTGCCATTCCAATCCCTATAAAACAGAACTTGTTGACAATGCGGTAGCCATTCATAAATGCAACGTATACTTTTGAAACGAACTTGTGTGCGTGTTAGTTATGAACGATCGCGCGTAAAATAAGTGAGTTGCCTATGGATCACGCTAATTTTGAGATAAGTTAAAATGAATGTAATTAATTATTGTGATTTTAAATATTTATCATTTTTTATGTAACATTATTTATGTCTAGAATTTAATTTAAAAAAATTGATACACTTAAAAAGCCTCCCTGTATAAATGTTGTGATGTATTTATATAAGATGTGAAGAATTGTTTTAACCTTACCCAGTAGCAACTTAAACACAAGCTTACCGGGTGGAATGTTTCTATTGTAGTTTTCAGGAATCTTATATGCGTGCTGGTTCATATACAGGATCTGGCTGAAAAGAATTTAAAATATATTAAAAGTTGAAATATTTTAGCACATTTATTTATTTTTAGTAATTTATTATTACTCTTCATCTGTCCATTTTGATTTATTTATTTACGTAAATTTCTGTTTATATATAAACATTACTTTATAATATTTGTTAAAGTAGCTCTCTATCACATCTCTAGAAAGGAAGATTCTATGGAGAGACTTGTCCTTCAAGGCCGTGTAGAAGGTAAAAGACCTTGAAGTCGAGCCCCCACGCGCTGGATTGACCTCATCACCAGCACTACGAAAGCCACAGCAGTACAATGTGCTCGCATTGCTAACAGCTGCCTCCAATAGAGGAACATCGCAAGAAGTGCGGCTGTCTTGGAAGCGAACAGCGACGACGAGACGCAACCCTGTCCATCGACAGCCCCGACCACTCTCCCAGGAGTGTCCCATTAAGAAGAAGAAGGTAGATCAATGACGCTGTCGTCATTTAAGTTGATTTCAAAGTATTCTTGAGTATCAGATATAACTTAATGTATTCAGGGAACTTGGAACGAGTAAACTCTAGGTCCTTCTGTTTTCTAACTCTCTATGTCTTATTTTTATGAACTTTCATTTAAAATTCATCTACGTCGTTATAATATGGGAATTTTTTGCGAAATCTGGAATATTACCATTAAGGTAGTTTCTCTGCAACAGAGTAAGTATTTAATTCATAAAGACATTACATGTTTTGCATGTATATTACATGCAAAACATGTAATGTCTTTATGAATAATTTAGTCCATCCAGTTAAGACGTTATAACATTAGCTGTTAAGTTATTCGTTAATATTTTTACATAAATTTTCATTTAAATATTAGGTTGACTCATGACTGATATCTGAAGCACTGATAGTGTTCTGTAGGTCGCTTTAAAATAACTTAAAACGTTGCACGTGTAGAGGATCTGCCTATAGTTCTTACATTAAGCATTAATCTATTTACATAAGACAAGGCTTAAACTTTTCTGCTCATCTATCTAAAGAATTAAGTACGTTTCTTGCGCGATTGATGTAGCGCATGTAAAAAAGTAAAGTAAAGTAACAGCCTATACATATACACATTACGGGGTGAACTATACTATATAGTTCACCCCGAGGCCCCACTGCGGGATAGGCGGACTTCACATATCTTCGAAATATTTTTTTTGTTATTATTTCGAAAATACGCAGGTTTCCTCACGATGTTTGTCTTCATCGTTGAGCATGTGATAACTCAGCACTTAAAATAATAATTTTACTGGTGCTGGCACCGGGATCGAACTCAGGTTGCTCGAGTATATTGAATTAAAGGCGAGTGCCCGAACACTCAGATGTCATGGCTCCTGATGTAACGCATGTAGCTGACCTGCGATTAGTTTTTATGGTTCGAAATATTTTTTTCTGCCTGTAGTCACAGTTTGACATTTGCAGGTATGTAAAGTGTCAATTTTGTAAAATTAAGCTGAAACATATTAAATATGAATCTACGTTTATAAGTTTACGCTATATCATTCATATATTGAGAATCTCAATAGGTTATATCCGTGCTAGCATCGTAGATATATACCCATATTGTAGATATCTTAGGAGCAATAGTTATAAATGAGATTTAAGACGATAATTACTGCCTTCCGTTTATTAAAATTGCGCCAAGGTTCAAAGGTAAAAGGTATCTTTATCATTGTTTGTTTAATTTGTAAATTTATGTTTTTTTGTTTTGAGTTTGATGTAATTTTTATTTTGGTGTCAATATGTCATCTTATTCATATGAAGATAAACTTTATAAACGGTTTAAAGCATTTCAATAGTTCTTGTTGTATGTTTGATAAGCCCTATAATCTTGATGATGATGTTTAATCTTCTTTATTGCATTACTCGCTTTAAGATGACAAAATGTTAGCTTGTTAGTTTTATTCACGATTGAAAAAGACGTTCCTTCTGAAATTTCATTATAATCTAACATATGAGTTTTTTACGGTGAGAGAAACGACAACTTACACTGCACACATAGTGATTATTTACTTATTAAAACGAAAAGCTGTCACTATCACAGATGTTACAGAGGAAATGCTACATCTTTATTAAAAGAGTAGAAAAACATTTTCGGTACTAAACTTGTCTCAATTTACTAACATAATAAAGATTTTAAATTTCGTTTTTTTGTTGTATGGAGCATAATTACGTTCGTAATTTAATAAAGTGCAAAAATATGAAAGTAGGATGATGGACATTATGTTGCTACAAAAAATTTTACTAAATTTGTCTACCCTTAATACTAATAAATTCTTTACAATGTAATTAATCACCTATCAATATTTTAAATTTGCTATAGGAACGCTCTGCTACTATATAATTAAGCAGGCACAATCGCTTCCTATTTTCAAGCGACTTTTAACTTTATGCTTCCTTAAACATTGTGTCATATTCCTTGATGTTGTCAAATTATATCTAAATTTTTACATATTATCATTGTATTTAGGCATATATTTATATATGGTGCTTGGAGTGTATATTTATTTATAATTTATTAATATATATTTATATTCTATTTATTCGTTTCTGTTATCATTTTAGTGTACACCCTTTATTATCTCCTTTTTCTAGGTTGCCTGAAAGAAATCACTTTGTAGCGCTAAGGCTGCCTGTTGTACAGATTTATTTTATTTAATGGCGATTATTAAATATATGTTGTAGTGTACAATGAAGTATATTTCATTCATTTATTATATTCGATAAGGACAACATTACAGGTCTGTATAACGTCGAAGTTCGTTTTTTAACTTTCAGATGCTTTCAGGACAAATTTTTAAAGTGCACTAAACGTTAACTAAACAAAATACTATTGTTATTGAATGGATGTTGTTTTTATTTTATATGACCTTGTTAAAAAATAAAATACGAGAGTAAAAACCCATGGTTTGATGATAATTCAAAACTCTACGGCCAGTGGCGTACGTTTACGTGTTATAAACTGATAATTTGAGTAATAAATTCTAAACTAGTTAATATTTATCAAGCAAATCACAAGAACTATTTACATCGCCGAGAGTTTTAAATGTCTCGGCGGGAATATAAATGTTTCGAATGTATTTTTTTTTCATTATTGCTAAAATTATTACTTTAATCATCGCAAATTTCAAATTTTTAATTATTTATCAAATTTGATATTTCATTATAACAATGTATAAACAGATTTTTTAAAAGAAGACCTTGAAGAGGTGACTAATTTTTAAGTATATATAAATACTTCGTCAGCACAGGTCTCACATGTATATTTTTCCATATTTTTTTTAAAAAAATAAATTAACTACAAATACAAACACTTTCGGATTTCGTCTTACAAAAGGCCAATTTTCAAAAGATTGTCAATGCATCTGTAACCCTCGGGTGTGGCAGATGTCACACCCGAGGGCTACAGAAGGAGACACTCGTATTAAAATGTTGTACGTTTCATTGGAAAATATAACAAACGGAGACATTAACATTCTGGATATTTTGGTTGTATTCAAAGCATTTGGCTAGGTATCATCTCTTCATTCTTTGGTAATAATCGAGGAAAAAGACCGTGTTCACTGATGACATTATAAAATTTTTGACGATTAGTAAGTAGTGTAATCAGATAAATATTGTGAAGTTGAGAACTATATTATCTTAGCGATACAGATTGAAGTGTGGAGTTAAGGTAGAGTAGACTTTTCTCTTCTCTCTAATGTATGCCTTTTTAATTTTTATCTTTAACGATTTGATTCCCTCAAATTAGTGAGATGGAAGTGGGTTGTTATGTCGATGTTGTATATTTTTAAATTTATGTTTGTAAAACGTCCTTACAACACAGGATAATGTTATCCTAAAGTAAGGGCAATGTTTTTTAAAAAAAGAAAAAAAAATTATTAACAACTTAAGGTACGCAGATGATACGGTGCTGTTGCTTCATCAATCAGTGCTCTATAAAGCTTATAAATAAATGCGAAAATTACGCTACGGCTCACTCATTCCACACGAATTTCCACATTCGACGACGCCCCGAATGGCGTAGTGGTTAGTGTATCTGCATCCTGCGCCAGAGGGTGTGGGTTCGATCCCCACTACTGGAAAAATATTGTGTGATGAACATAGTGTTTTTCTAGTGTCTGGGTGTTTATATATGTATAATATGTATTTATTTACAAAAGAAAAGTATGTTTAAGTATGTTTATCAGTTTTCTAGTACCCATAGTCCCAAACTAAGCAACGCTTGTTGCTTAGTTTGGGACTAGAAAATGTTGTGTAAAAATGTGTCAAAAAAAACAAAAAAAAAAAACAATGCTCAGTCATTCCTTTTATACATACAACTTTTGGACGAACGCAGTAATAGTTCCAGGCATTAAGAGTGCAATATATAAATGCGTTTAGGATATTTTTAGGTCATACTAAATATTGTTATGCTACTATGTTCGCAGAGTCCACATATTGATGACTTTTATGCCATCATTGGAAAAACAGTAATTACTCTTTTTGATATTCCTCGTAAGAATTTTAAAAACCCAAAACATTTTAAACTTTCTGTTAATTTTCTTTGTAATTTAAACTATTATAATTATGAATTCATTTTAAATGAAGTTATTATTATTTCTTACATTACTTAGAAATAATTTACTAAATAATACATTACTGAGAAACGTTTTAGCATAATCTATTAAGTAATACTCATAGCCAGGGCCAGATTTAGGGGAATGCAGACGGGGCAACAGCCCCGGGGCCTCCACAAAAGAGGGGTAGCCTCAATAATAACTTCGGAAAAAAAAAAATCTAATTCAGACCAATAATCAATAGTAAACGACTTTTCATATTTTTTTCGCGTTTTACTTTTACTTACAGTACTTTGTACAAACATGACATACACATTAAATACTAACAGAAATCAATAGAAAATAATTTGGGACTAAGGGGCCTCCAATCCTTTGTTGCCCCGAGCCCTCCAGATCTCTAAATCTGGCCCTGC